GGGTGAAGGGGGTCATGGGAATTTTAAGAGGACACAAACTTTGGACCATAGCAGTTGACAAATACCCCAAACATCATAGAAGCCAGGAAGATAAATCTTTTATTAATTAATTTCCTGGTGCTAGAAATGTTTTGGCTGCATACCCTGCTTCTTCGTGTGATGAAGATTTGACACATTTCTACAGGGAGAGTAGAAAGATCATTCCGCTGGTCTGCTTCTTCTCCACCACCCAGGTACTTTGGGTACCAGGCGCTGTGGGACACGCTCCTTGGTGATGCTCCTCTGGTCCTGTATCTTGTCCCTGGACCCAGGTGGGGCAGCATGGTGGGCAGGAGGCCATTCCTAAGCTGAGAATAACTGAATTATTCATGTAAGTGGCTGTGAACCACAAAAACATATCCCACTAAACTTAAAGTAAATAGATACCCAATTCAACTTCCCCTTAGCCAGATCCCCAAAATGCACATGGCCTCTCCAACACTGTCTGAGTCTAGAGGAAGCATGATGGCGGGAGGGGAAGGAGACGGGAGTGTTAAGCAGTTCACTGAATGTTACAGACATTTATGCCCATGCAAACCCATTGCCATGCAGTGAAGGGCCTTAAAGTTCAAGCTAGGAAGGTGGGCGCTGGATGGGCTTACAGCCTGTGGTGTTTGCCAGATGGAGATGAGACCTGGTTTGGCTGTAGCCCCTGACCCCAGTCCGTGCCCTCCCTCTCAGCTGCTCCCCTTCTTTCTTCCTCTCCTACTCCAGGCTTCCAGGGAACAAAGTCCCTCTTGGTCCTCTGTAAACACTCCCTGGAAAGCAAACAGGGCTTACTGACACCAGATTGCTCTCTGCCTGGCACTGGGCAGATTTTACACCTGTCATCTTTTTTTTAAAAATATATTTTATTAATTTTTTTACAGAGAGAGGAAGGGAGAGGGATAGAGAGTTAGAAACATTGATGAGAGAGAAACATCGATCAGCTGCCTCCTGCACGCCTCCTACTGGGGATGTGCCCACAACCAAGGTACATGCCCTTGACCGGAATCGAACCTGGGACCCTTCAATCTGCAGGCCGATGCTCTATCCACTGAGCCAAACCGGTTAGGGCTGTCATCTTTTTTATTATTATTGATTTCAGAGAGAAAGGGAGAGGGAGAAATAGAAACATCAATGCCGAGAGAGAATCATTGATTGGCTGCCTCCTGCACACCCCACACTGGGGATCAAGCCTACAACCCAGGCACGTGCCCTGACCGAGAATAGAACCATGACCTCCTGGTTCATAGGTCGATGCTCAACCACTGAGCCACACCGACCAGGCACATCTGTCATCTTTGGTCAAGCTCCTGGCAGCCCTTCCCGGTCTGCGTGCTCCCACGCACCCACCAGCCCCTCCCTCGATTTTGGTGCTAGTTGCAGAGATCGCCTGAGCAACCAGCAACCAGCTGCTGACCTGCTAAGCTGACACCAACTAGTCCGCATTCTAGTTTATCTATTGCTGCATAAAATGTTACAAAACTTAGTAGCTTCACACAATGGCATTTATCTGGCTCACAAATCTGAATTTGGGCACGAGATGGGGAAAGCTCATCTCTGTGTAAGAGAATGGGAGCCGCTCTGTACCTATAACCGAGCCTCAGAGGCGTGCAGTGTCATTCCCACCACATTCTATTTGTCGAGGCAACAGGACAACGTGTGGTGCTAACCACTGCACATCCTGCCTCGGTTCTCAGATGCCTTTTCATGGGACGGGCTTCCTTCCATGGGCCGTATTGTTTGCCAACGGAATTTGGCTCTGTGCCTGCAAGGGTGAGGAGGGCTCTGCCAAACCAGACTTCTGGTTTCTTCTTTTTTTTAATCCTCACTGGAGAATATTTTTTCCATTGATTTTCAGAGAGTGGAAGGGAGGGAGTAGGGGGGAGAGAGAAAGAGAAACATCGACATGAGAGAGACACATTGATTGGCCACTTCCCACTCGTGACCCCACTGGGGCCAGGGAACCTGCAGCCAAGATATGTGCCCTTGATCAGGAATCAAACCTGCAACCCCTGGTCCGAAGGCGACGCTCTAACCCAGTGGTTCTCAACCTTGGCTGTACATTAGAATCACCTGGGAATCTTTTTAAAATCCTGATTTCTGGGCCTCATCCTCCGGAAATTCTGTTTCTGTTACTAATGTTGTGGCCTCAACATTAGTAACAAAGAAACAGAATTTCCGGAGGATGAGGCCCAGAAATCAGGATTTTAAAAAGATTCCCAGGTGATTCTAATGTGCAGCCAAGGTTGAGAACCACTGATCTAGCCCATTGCTTTCAGATAGAGTGGAAAGGAGGTGAGAGGGAGAAAGAAACATTGATGTGAGAGAGACACATGGATTGGTTGCCTCCCGCACATGCCCCTACCAGGGCTGGGGATTGAGCCTGTAATGTGCCCTTGATCGGGAATCGAACCTGGGACCCTTTGGTGAGCAGGCCGATGCTCTAACCACTGAGCAACCGGCCAGGGCTCCCGGTTTCATTTTTGAACACTCTTTCCTGTGCCTGGGGAGTGGGAAGCCCAGAGTGTCGGGCTCTGCTCTGGGTCCTGTCAACACTGTCATATCCAGGCCCCTTCCAGAGGGGGGCAGGGGATGGGAGCTGGAGGCTGCTCTGCTGAGCAGGAAGGAACAATGAGTCCATTCTCTTGTATCCGGGACTTCCTGAGGAGACTGCAGTGCGGGATGAAATGGTATTTTCCGTGGAATGGCCCATTATCTTATAGGACCCCAGGTGTTCCAGCAAGAGCACACACTCTGAGTCAGCCAGGTGTGGCTTCGGGTCCAAGGTGCTCCTTCCCTTGCTGGCTGGATGGCCCTGAGCCAGTTACTTCACCTCGTGACCCCAAGCTACTCCTCCTGTAAATGGGGGTAAGGCTTGTGTCATGTAACTTGCCTGCTATGAAATGAGAGGATATATGGAAAGCACCTTGCGTGGCCCTGACACATAGTAGCACTCAGTGATGCCCAGCACGAGACCCTGTACCCAAGGAATCTGACCAACACACAACAGTGTGGGGCTTTCCCTCCCTTGTTTTCGACACTGTGCTTCTAGTAATGCAACTTAAGATGGTTTTATTACTTTTGGCATATCGCTCAGTAGTTCTCACCCACTTAAATCCCCATTCTTTCCACCTGTGGCAGCTACAGCCCTCATAACGGGCCCAGCTGCAGGCAGGGATGTTCCAGAAAGATGGCCAATCCCACGCCACTTCCTCCATGGAAGGCCTGCCCAATCCGCCCAACAAAGAGGGATCCGGGGAGATGCAAACCCAGGCCCTCCGGACCCTCCCCTGACCCCCTAGTCCCACGAGGTGTCAGCCCAGCCACGTGCTCACGGGGAGAGATAGTGGATACTCAGTTCCTACGTGGTGATGGTGAGAAGGGTGGTGGATATTCCCCAATGCTGCTCTGCCGCCCAGCCTAGACACTTACTGAAATGACTTTTTAAACAATTTACTGGTGGGATGGGGGTGACAGGTGGACACCTGCATCCACATTGGGATCTAGAGAGCATCCTGGGCCACCACGTGGTTCGGACGTTGCAGACAATCCACGGCCAGAGTCCACATGACTAGGGAAGGAAGTCGCCGGGGGTAATGAGTAGCTCCCCTGCAGGGAGCAGGCCTGTTGTTCTGGGCAGTACGGGGTGCGGAAGCTCGCCGGCGGAGGACAGACATCAGGCTGTGAGCACTTACCACATGCCAAGTGCTTCACGGTTTCATCTCTCTCATCTTCACCACGAGTAGGCCAGGTAGCAAGAGCCCACTTTCTGTATCAACGAGGAGAGGAGACGGGTGCTGGGAGGTGTGGGGCTCATGCTGGGTCACACGGCCGGTGAGTGTGAGGGCAGCCAGAGCTGGGCCAGCACCTGTGGGCCAGTTCCAGTCTTCAAACTTGATTTGTCCTACATACTATTTAAAAATAAGGTAAGCCAACTTTTGGGAATTGGGAGATTTCACATAAAAATCCAGACCCCTAGTGTCTCTTTAAAAAAAAGGCAAACAAACATAAAGGAAGATGTGGCAACACTGGGCTCTCAGAGCTGAGAGCTGGCTGCCTCCTTGGAGTGTGGTTCCCCAGGCAGCCCCGCTCCTCCCCAGGCCCTGATGCCTCTCCAACACGGAGGGCCGGTGCCCGTGGCCATCGGCCATTACACTCCTCCTGTGTGCTTCTTGTAAGACACACATGTTTCATCATTCCTAGGACTCTCCTGAAAGCGAGGAAATAAGCAATACATTGAAAGGGCCTCTATTTGTCACTGGCTCATGGCTGAGGGCAATAGTACCGCCTTCTTCTCTGTGTCCCAGCACTTAGCACCATCTTCTGAACATAGTAAGTAGGTGCTCAATACGTGTCTGGTCTCTAGGTCCTCCGACTCCTGATGAGAGGGAGATCCTGGAGTCCGAGTCCTGGACTGGCCGCCTACCAGCTGTGTCATCTCCGGTGAATACCGTAACCTCTCCATGCCTCAATTTCCTCAGTGGAAACACCGCAATTCCTAACTCGTGGTAGTTGTGAAGATTAGATGAAGGTGCGATTATATACGGAAAGCACCTCCCTGGCTCAGAGTAAGGGTCCCACAAATGTCGGTTCCCCATCTCCTCCATCTGTTTGGCTTACCCCAACCTCCAAAGCACCTCTCTCTATGGTACTGGCAAGGACAGGCTCCTAGAAATAAGATCTGGATAAATGACTCCATCCATCGCCCAAGGCTTCTACAAGGCAAAAGCACCTCTGGCCCAAGTGACCAGATGTTCCAGTGGGGGCTGGGTGACCTTCCTCTGTGCATCATGGGACTTCGATGCTGTTTAGCAATATCTGCCTTTGAGGTCCCTGCATACCTCCTCTTTCTCTGGAAGGTACTCCCAGAGCGGGCCAGAACCCCCTGAACCCCCCATTCCTGTTCTCCCCACCATCCACCCATCTGAGCAGCCCCCACACTCATTGGACTGAGCCAAGCAGACACAAGCCCCAGACACCTTGGTACAGTTTTATTCAAACTCCAGATGCCCAGGCTTGGCCTGGCAGAGGGTGTGTTCTTGCCAGTGGCAAAAAGTGATACAGCACGTTCGTTAATACTCATCGTTTTAATTTAAATTAATAGCATTTCTGGAAGACAAATGCAGTTGGTAGAAAATATAAAAACTTTTCCTGTACAAATTTTACATCACATTCAAAAGAGCAAGTGTGTGCCTCGCGGCCACAGGAGACACGGGGTGCGCACGCTGATGAGATCCTGGCTGACGTCGCCGAAGCCCACAAGCTCCCGGTTCGGCTTCACAGTTATGTCTCCACCTGCCCCCAAATCGACACCGAACACAGGCTTACAGGGCGCCACTCCCCCCGAGGTCACAAGAAATGCTGGGCGGGGGCAGAGTCCAGGGCCCTGTGCCTGTCTTTAATTTGGTGACATGGAGAGGTCACTTTGCTACACACCGCTCACGACGAACAGGGACTCGCTGGGGTTCAGGACCTCAAGTTGGATGGAGACCCAATGGCTGCGGCTCTGGTGGCTAAAGGCAGTGGGGACACACACCTCTGGACTTTGGAGGTGAGGCTGGAACTGGGGGGGCCCTGAAGGGCCAGCGCTTGGGCTCCACTCTGACCCCAGTGCGGACCTCTGCAGCCCCCAGAGCTCTCTCCAAGGAGGCCTCCCAGCATCTCCTTCCCCTTCACAGTTGGCCATGAGGCTGAATTCACAGTATCTGCCGTCCTTCATGTTTCCAGGGCAGGAAGGGAGAGCGCACGGAGGGCACGCACGTCTTCCTAACCCCATTCACAGTCATGGAAACACAGGGAAGGGGGCCAGTGGGGGGGGCTTTCCGAGGTGTTTATCCTAAATGACGGGGAGCGCAGAGGCTCGGGCTACGCGTGGGGAGGCTGCCCGGGGCCTTGAAGAGGTGCCCCCCAGGCGCTCAGCTACACTCTCGGGGTTCCTGGCAGACTGTCAGTTCTCAGGGTGGAGACAGTGACTGTCCTATCACCAGGCCCCCAGCACTTGCACAGAGCACAGTAGCTGCTCAATGAAAGCTTCTTGAGCTGACCCACGAGTGTCACTCACAAGAAAAAACAAAACACAGACTAACTTTCGTGGGCTAAGGAGGCACTGAGCCCCGTGTGCTCCGCTGCTGTCCAACCCCAGGGCTCACCAGCACGGCCTCGGGCTCAGAGGGGGAAGCCGAGAGGCAGCAGTCACACACACTGTGATGACGGTGGGGGTGACCTTGTAGAGGGCTGATGGGGGAAGCCAAAGGCATGATGGGGAGACACAGACAGCCCCACAGAGGACAGACCCACACAAGCCAAAGCCACTGGTTTCCAGCTCCCATCTTCCTCCCACACCCGAACTGGGAAGGGGAGAGGGGCTCCCATCTGAAGGGTGGACGGGCAGCGGGAACCGGGTACCTTGCATTGCCCGGCGACTGTGCTCTCCAAGTACCGCTCAGCCAGGGTGCTGGCCTGGCCTGGAGAGGGGCCCACAGCCCACAGCGTCTGGGCAGAGGCCCGTTTCATACGGCATTTTGGTCAGACCAGGAAGGGGGAGGGTGGCTCTGACGACTGGGAGCTTTGCTAGGGGCATAAATGAAAGGGGTGGGAGGACCACCTGCCTCCCATCTTGGCTCAGAGCATGGACACAGGTTCTGGGCCTGAACCCAACCACATGGCCACTCTCACCCCCCTTGGTCATTTCTGGTTGGGAGCCTAGTAGGACAGAACGTCCACTGACGGGCTTCTTTGCCACCTGGAACTTGTCTCTTGAGGCGGCAGCTTCTAATGAAGACAGGCAGGATGCTCTCTCATCACAGGCTGTCCTTCTGGTTCAAACGGAGGCCTGACAGGGAGGCCTGACTCGGTGCTGGGGAAGGCTCTGGAGACTGGGGGGCTCTCATGAAAGGGGGGGCACACGCCTCCCATCTTAGCTCTGCACATGGACAGTGGGGGAGCCAGGAGTGGGCTGAGGGGCTTCAACAGGACTGGGGCCGGGGAAGAGATGGGCGGCTCCAGGCCTTGGGGTGACTGAGGATGGGTGTCTAAGGAGCCAGCCAGGTAACACTGAGGCTGGGAGGGGGCTCGGGGACCCACTGCTGCTTCTCCTTCCCCCGCACCTTCCTTGTCCTCACGGAGCCTTCACGGCACACACAGCCTTCGCTCTGGGGTCAAATGTCAGTCAGGGATTCAGCTCTGGCTAAAAAGCCGAGGCCCTGGCTGCCTCCCTGGGGGCAGGAAGGAAACTTCGCTGCAGAAGGTGGAACCCTGGCGGGAACCACTGGATCAGCACAGATGTTATTCGGGTTTGATCCGTCTCTGCGTTTCCAGCTGGGGTGGGCTGAACTGCAGGGGTCAGAGGTGAACCCAGCTCTCTGGGATCTGGGGACCCTCGTATTCCAGCTCGGTTCCCAGCCAGGGTTTCCTCTGCAAGAGGAGGAAGGGACGAGGGGAGACCCTGGCCGAGGGAGCTCCCTCCCCGCCCGCCCCACAGGATTTAGGGCCAAAGCAGAGGCGAGGTCAGATCTGTGGTCCCCCGTCCTGCCCCCAAAACGTCCACAACCAGGAGGCTTTCCTTCCTGCGGCCCAGCGCAGGCTCCCTGTCCACAGGGCTCTCCACAGGGGCACCACGTCCGCTGTCCCGGCCGGCGGGGCCGGCGCACCCCGCACAGCCTGCTTTTATTATTACCTATTGTAAAACATCGCGCTCACTCCGCAGAAACGTACATGTAAACATTGGCTGCCCGTCGGGACAGGTTTGGTTGTTGGTGATGTCACTTTAAGGAACAGCAGGTGCAGCTCCGTCTCCGAGACCCGAGTGTTTTCTGCACACAAATAGGTCTGAGCCCAGAACGCAGGCTGAGCCCAGAACGCAGGCTCCTGGCTTGGGGGAGCGGCGGGCGGACGTTTCGGTGGCGAGTGCTGCTTTTTGTGGTGGAGGTTGTGTGGATGTTTTAGAAACACTTTGAAAAAGGAGGAAATCGGCGGGGAAACTGCACAGCTGGCTACATCTTTGGATTACTGGCCTCCAGGGCGCCCAAGCCAAACCTCTCAAACCGGGGTACAACTTTGCTGCTGTTAATGCTGCAAAGAGGAACAAAAACAAGGGTTACGGCCCCGCTGGTCTCGAGCAGATTAGGGTGACATGAGCTAAGGAGCGGGCCAATTCTAGAAGCTCACAGAGGACCCAGCCCACCAAGAAGGGAGAATGATCCCACAGCCCACGGCCGTAGTCTCGGCAGAGCTGCTCCTGGTCGTGCCGGGTCGGGAGCCCAGCCTTGGCCACACGCCCCCCTGGAGGGCGGCGGCTTGTGCCTCTCACAGCCCCCAGCTCCCAGAGCAAGTACCTGCCATGGGCCCCTCTGAGCTGACTTCTCACCACAGCCCAGGGAAGCTCGTGCTCCCAGAGGAACTGGGAGGACACCCGACCCCAGAGCTGAGTGACATCACCAGCTCCTGTGAGAAGTGGGCCTCACACACGGGAGAACATCAGGGCCACCTGGAAGCGCGCAGTGCACAGGGCCGGCCTCCAGAGACCGGGATCGGGTCTTGGGGGCCCAGGAGTCTGCATTTGGCAACAATGCAGGGACTCTGGGTGCCCGGCCAACCACACTCTCGATGAGCTGGCTCAGGGTCTGGAAATTGCCCTCCGCACTGGGCAGATGTAAAGGGAGCAATGTTGCGGGTGGGAGCGGGCAGGAGCTTTGCTTTCATCAGTGAAACTGTTTGGAGACAGGCCCCTTGCTTTCAGACGACCCCCGCTGAGCGCTGCTGAGCAGTCCTTCCAAGCTGGTGTCTTTTACGGCAACAGACCTTGGGGTGTCCACCACCGGCAGCCCTGCAGAGGGCACAGCCCTGCGCAGCTCTGAAATCGCCCCACTCCTTGCTGGACAAGATCCCTACGGTTAATAGCCAAGCAGACCCCCTCCCCCGGTTCTTTGGACCCAGCCACTGGGAGGCCGACGTGCTGGGGTTGGCAACGTGCAGGTTGGCAGGGTGGGGGGAGGGCACAGGTCTCACTGAGCTGTTAGTAGGAGGCAGGGCCACCCAACAAAACACGCTAGCACCCGCAGAGGAAGAGCTAGAGAGGGTGCAGCCGCGTCCAGGGCCTTCTGGGGGGAGCTGTTAGGGGTCCTCCGCGGACGTCAGTTATTCAGGCACACGCAGGCGGTGGAGACGGAGGGGCCAGTTTTAAAAACAAACAAAGCAAAAGAGGAGGCCTCAGGAGGGAAGGTGGAGCGGCAGAGATGGCGTCCCCGGGTTAGTGCCCGCCTCTCGGTTTGCATTTGAGCAGGAGTCGAGGTGCCGAGTGACGATTAGGAGGAAGAAAGCCCCAGGCACATGCGAGGCAGCCAGGCCTACAACCTATGGGAGGAAAGAGAAGGGAGAGCAGCGTGAGTGAGAACCAGGCCCCACGGGGCGGGGGCAGCAGCCGGGGCCTGGCCAGGTCAGGGGACCCTCTTTCCCTGGAGAGAAAGGGATGCTCCTGTTCCATCCCAGGCCTGGCAGCCGAGCGGGCAGGGAGGGGAGCCTGGCTCAAAGAACCATCCCTGAGCTGCCCGGGGCCCGGTCACAGGATCTGAATCAGAGGTTAGCCAATGGGCCCTCTGCCCCTCAGCCCTGGACTATGCAGATGGACTTCTTGGAGCTCACTACTTCTGCTCACTGCATTCTTCTGTAAGCTCTGGCCAGAGGGCACCCGGGGGTCTCAGACGATGACCTCCGTTCTCTCTCACCCAGGCGCAAGCCATAGTCTGCCACAGGGTGGGCAGAGGCCCTGCGAGAGAAATACAAGCCCGCAGAGGCCTTACTGGTGGCCGTTTCAGCTGCAAAAACATCCCTTTGGTTTATGAGAAAAACACACACAAAGATGAGGTAGCTGGATGCAGACAGGCAGGAAGCGGGGTGAGCGGAGGGGAGGCTGCGACAGGCAGAGAGGGAGGGAAGTAACAGAAGACACACTATTCCTCCAGAGCGGGGCAGGGGTTCTTAAAGTCAGGGTGGCCGTATCGTCCTTTCCCGTAGTATCGGCTCCGCCAGCGACTGGGAGTGCCCCGCGATCATGTTGCCAGGTGTGGGAGGCGCGAAGTCCGCAGGTGATGCCGTAGGGTCGGCCCCCCGCGTGGCAGGTGGAGGAGGAGCCACAGGAATCAGGATGGCGGGAAGAGACAGGGAGATGACAGGACAGGTCATCGCATCAGCCACCCCCCAAAATAAAAAAGCAACAAAACCGATGGAAAAGAAAAAAGAAAAGGAGAATTAGAGGCTGAGTGTGTAGAAGTAAAACTCATGAACAGGAAGCTGTGACACGGACTCATGAGGGGGTGCTGGCATTCTTTTCCTGAGAGGCTAATGCTGATGGTGGTGGGCCAGAAGCAGTGCCCAGCGGTGCCTCAGTTTCCCTCGGTGAAATGAGACTGTGGGCTATGGGGTCTTTAGGGGATCTGGAACCATCTCAGAGCACCTAGCTTTCTCTTCTGCAGATGAGAAAACCGGGGCCCAGACTGTCAAATGAGTTGCCCGAGGTCGGACAAGCCAGATCCTTGGACTTCTTGCAAGTCCAGGAGAACCCCCTACTCCTGGTCTCTGCTGGGACGGCTCCTGTTCAAAGCCCAGCTCCAAGGACTTCCCTGCCGGAGACCCTTCCTCAGGCTCCCTGGGTGGGCAGAGAGGGCCCGTCCCTGCTCCCAGAGGCCGTGCTCTGTCCCAGCACTCGGCATATTGCAATTATTCCCTCATTCGTTCACGCACCCATCACCTGTTTACTGAGCAAAGGAGAAAGGTTGGGGGACTAGAAAGCTCTGTGCTGAGTCTGCACTATTTTAAGCCACAGCCACTCTGCGGGTTTTGGTGATGCTCTGACGTCCAGGGGCCCGTGTGGCCCTGTCCTACGCAGCATCCTCTCATCTGGGCCTGGCCTGGGCCCGGCGTCAGCACTTCTCTGAGAACAGTGATATGGAAGTTTTCAGAGGAGAGCTGGAGACAAAAGGCGTCTCCGGACTAGACGCGGTGAGTGAGATCCTGGTATCACTGGTGAGGAACAGGTTCTCCGGCTAATCTGCTTTGAGTGTTTGCCACAGTCCTGGGCACACAGGGCACATGGTGCCCTCTAAGACCCCACATGCAGCTACCAAGGCTGGCTGGCGGGTTTGGCCGCTGAAGGGGTACTTACTCAGCAGACTTCCAGAAGTGCCCGGGGTGGGAGAGCCGCCGGTTCAGCTTGGGCAGTTTCTCCAGCATTTCCATCAGCAGCGTGAAGCTGGGCCTCTCCTGCAGGTCGAAAGCCCAGCAGGCGGACAGGATCTCCTGTGGGCAGAGGCAGTGTTAGTGGGTGCGAGCCGGCTGAGAGGGAGGAAGGTGAGCTGGGGCCTCTGCACAGGGTCCCCTCGGCGCTCGCAAGCACCCCCGGCTGGTGGTCCCGTAACATCCTGCTGACATTGCGATGACTGGCCAGCAGGGCTGAGAAATAACCGAATTTCAGAAAAGCGCTCATGCTTCCAGTTCAAATAGAAACCCACAAGCCCATCTCCCCTCCTTCCTTCTTTTTAAAAAAATATTTTTTTATTTATTTCAGAGAGGAAGGGCAAGGGAGAGAGAAACATCAATGATGAGAGAGAATCATTGATCAGCTGCCTCCTGCACGCCCTTTACTGGGGATCGAGCCTGCAACCCGGGCATGTGCCCTTGATCGGAATCGAACCTGGGACCCTTCAGTCCACAGGCGGATGCTCTATCCACTGAGCCAAACCAGATAGGGCTCCCCTCCTTCCTTCTTAGACCTCCCAGGAACAACAGTAACGAAGCTGAGGAACAGGTCATAGAAAAGACATCGGCAAGGAAGCCACCAATTTTTAGAACGGAAAGTGGAAGGCGGTGTGTTGACAGGGGAAACACAAGATGCTCTGAATGTGTGCAGAGGGGGCGGCAACAGGTGGGAGCCTCAGCGTCACGGGAACGAAGGCTGAGTGACAAGGACTAAATGCGGGGCAGCAGGTGAGAGCGGGCAGCACGGCGGCCCCGAGCGGCCCCAGAGCAGAGCCCTGCTCACCGTGGCGATCTGCGGCCTAATCTCAGGGACCCACACATGTACACACACCCCCACTTCAGCCTTTTGATTCAGAGCTACCTGTGAGAAAACATCCTGCACGCACAGTCAGGCTGACGTGCCCATGTGACAGCGGCATGTGCACATCCACTTAGACTCAGCAGCTCAGGTGTTTGCTCCTCACTATGACGGGGCCCCTAGGGTAGCTGCCAGGTAGGAAAACTGGGGATAAACGGACCCTAAAAACACCGACTGAAGACACGGTGCGTGTGTGCGGGGGAGGGTTATCCATAAAACAAGACCAGGGTGCAATAAAGAAAGAAACTGACAAAGTGATGAAGTGCTTGCAATGAATCATGCAGCCTCCGAAATAAAACGTGAGGTAGAAGGAGTAGAAAATAAGATCAAGGAGATCCCCTCACTGCGGACCCAGCGCTGGGGAGGAATGGAAGGAAATGTGACAGAAGGTGAAAGACACGGAAACTCACGCGGAAGGACCACATTCTGTCTGGTGGAAGTTTCCACCAGAAAACAAAGACACCATAGGGCAGGAAACTAGAACAGCCATACACAAGAAATCGTCTCAGAAAGTGGAGGGGAACAGAAATCTTCAACTGCCAGGGTCCAATCAAGGGACTGAAGAAGATAAAAAGACTCCAGGTGACGCCAGAACACAGCAGGTCTGAACTCAACCAACGGACAGGGAAGCTTTTTTTTTAAGAAGGAGGGTGAGCGTGGGGTGATAAAGGACACGGGCCGCCAGCCAGCAGCAACGAGGCCGGCCTGGCACACACCTGCCCCAGGTCCCGCGGCTCAGGTGTGTGAAGGAAGCGCAGCCAGGCCAGGTGCCCACGCCCTCCCTCTAGCCCAGTGATGGCGAACCTTTTGAGCTCGGCGTGTCAGCATTTTGAAAAACCCTAACTTAACTCTGGTGCCGTGTCACATATAGAAACTTTTTTATATTTGCAACCATAGTAAAACAAAGATGTATATTTTTGATATTTATTTTATATATTTAAATGCCATTTAACAAAGAAAAATCAACCAAAAAAATGAGTTCGCGTGTCACCTCTGACACGCGTGTCATAGGTTCGCCATCACTGCTCTAGCCCTTCCTCCCTGTCCTCGGACAGGTGGCTACTCACCGTGACTTCCTTCCCCAGGCTGGCGGAGGCCAGGACTCGCTTCATTCCCTCTCCACTTCCGATCTGCCAGATCAAGGCCTCTGCGGCTTGGTTCTTAAAGGGCCAGTCTCTTGCTTGCAGCTCATACCAAACGGTCCTGTGGAGACCATCCGTGCAGCGTGAGCTCCTGGACCGCTCAGCCCAGCTCACGCCCGGGGCTCATGCTGCCAATGCCAGGAGCCCAGCCAGAGGCTCCAGGATCCTTCTCCAGCCTTCTCTACCCGCCGGGCTTCAGGGAATGCCATGACCGCGTCCTGGAGGGTCTAGCGGTGGTTCTCAACCTTCCTAATGCCACCACCCTTTAATACAGTTAGTTCCTCATGTTGTGGTGACCCCCAATGTCATTGTTACAAATTGAACATAATTAAAGCATAGTGATTAATCACAAAAACAATATGTAATTATATATGTGTTTTCCGATGGTCTTAGGCAACCCCTGTGAAAGGGTCGTTTGACTCCCAAAGGGGTCGCGACCCACAGGTTGAGAACCGCTGGTCTAGAGTGTCTGTGGCCCGGCGTTCCCATTGTGCTGGGGAGTCTGAGGCAGCCCAGGCTCTGAGCAGAGATCCTGGTATAACTGTCAACCTCAGTGGGGCTGATGCCTACATCCAAAGGTTGTTTGAGGAGCAACAAAAATGCCAAGCCCAGTGCCTGGCACACAAGGGTGCTTCAGAAGTGATAAGGAAGGAGGGGGGCGGGGAGACCACCGCCGAGGGGAAGGACATCCGAGAGATTACAGGGTGAGGCCTCACTCAGCCTCTCCGAGTCCCCTGGCCTCTCTCGACTGTTAGAGCCACACTGTCCCGTGTGGGGGCCACTGAGCCACTCTCGTGTGGGCGTGGAACTGAGTTGTGCTGTGGGTGTTAAAACACACGCCAGGCTTTACAACTCCATACGGTAAGGCAGCCCCTTCAATTTTAATTTCTGATTACATGTTGAAGTGATAATATTTTGGAGAATCCGAGTTACAGAAAATATATGACTGCAACGGATTTCATTGGTTTTTCTTTTTTAATGCGGCCAAGAGAAAACTTCCTATGTGGCTCACATTAGACAGGGTGAGGCAGAAGGAGGTTTGCAGTTATTCGTATGGAAAATAAATAGTAATAGAAGAATAATCTGTTTCGTGTACTCACAACTGCAAACCTCCTTTTGCCCCACCCTGTATCCTCCGTTTTTCTTTTGCTCACTTTCCAGGGCAGTAGAGGCTGCTGGCAGGACATCCCAGACTGAGGGGACCCAGAGGGGCAGTTCTTAGCTCTGGTGAGCGTCCTCACGGACAATGGGTGAGACCTTAGTCCTCATGAAACTATGCTATTGGGGAGGTGCCATTACTCTCCCATTTTAAAGGTAGGGAAAGGGAGGGTCAGTAGTGTAGTCACTCGCCCAACAAGCAGCAGAGCCAGGGCTCAAAGCACGCCCCCGGCCCCCACCCCGGCCCCCAGCCTCAGAGCCGCAGCAGGAGGGCCTCCTCACCCGAATGCATAGACATCAGCAGCTTTGGAGAACGGCAGCTGATCCTCTTCTTTCCCGGGGGTCATCTCGCGCACGATCTCAGGAGCCAAGTAGCACAGCCAGTCGTGTGACAGCTTCAGCTTGTTCTCACACCTGGTGGCCAAGAAGTCAGGGCTCGGATACAAGGCCTTTCAGCGAGCGGCCATCAGAGGCTCGCCCGGCCCAGAGAGGCCGCACGCTGAGCCTGCACTTGCCAAGGCACGGGGCGCTTGGGGGGAATGTAACAGGAGAGCGGTAGCCGGGTTTTTCTAGGGAAGCCGGCCAAGAAGGGGGATGGGGAGGGAGCCGCACTGGCAGGTGCCTGGTTCTCGGAGCACACCCTGGAGGACTGGAGCACATCCCTGTGCAGGAAATCAGACCTGCTTTGCATCTCAGGATCTGGCCTGGAGCTGGCTCTCCAGCTTGGCTGCCACTCTGCCTCCTGGGGGTCCCCCAGATGCTTGGAGAGGAGCCTTTCTCCCCATCCCACCCTTTCAAGATTTGGAGAAATAACACCTGACGCCCTTCCTCACATGGGGGACTTGAACCCTGGTCCTCTGCCCAAGGTGGTAAATGTGAGTGAGGGGACCCAGCCTCCCTGGGTCAGCCTGAGAATCAAGTGTACGAGGGACCTACAGGTCATCTGAATCTGATTCTGGACCAGAACCACAAAGGCAGGACCAAAGCAAACTGGCCCTTCCTACAGGGAGGGCTGCTCCTCAGACACAGGAGTGCCCAGACCCCAGCTGGACCCAGGCCCACCCAGCACCCCAGTTCCTTCCAGTTCCATCCGGATGCCCAAGGCCAACTCACCGTCCCTCTCGGACCACGCCCGACATCCCGAACAGCCCAAAGTCGGTGATGACCACTTTGCCGTTGTCATAGAAGACATTCTTGGATTTGAGATCCTTGTGCACGATGCCCTTGGCATGCAGGTACCCCATGCCCTGGAAGACAGCGGAGCCCCACGTCAGGGGGAGGGAAGATGAGTGACAATGACCTAGTGTCCACCTGGGCCAGGCACCGAGCTCGACGCCATACCCAGATCGCCTCACTTAATCTTCACAGTCTCACGCGGTGTAACTGTCTCCATTTTACAGATGAGGAAACCCAACTCAGAGAGAGGAGGTCACCTGCTCCAGGCCACACAGCTGAGATCTGGTTTTGGTCCATCTGTGCCCTTTCCATGCCTCTGTGTTGTCCAGCATCCTACTCAGACTTAGCTAACGTGGGACATGAGGAGAGGGAGAGGGGTGGGAAGCTGGGTGCCAGGAAGTATATAAAACATGACGAAACCATCCGTATTAAGGCATACAGGACCCATGTGATCTGGGACCTCTATCCAGGCTTTAACCAGCAGGCTTGTACCCTCAGACT